TATATATATATATATATATATATATATATATATATATATATATATATATATATATATATATATATATAATATATATATATATATATATATATATATATATATATATATATATATATATATATATATATATATACTCCTTTGCATCGTTTGGGACAGGTTTGAAAATTGGATCAAATTATTGTATAACAAACTGTATATATTTTCTAATTCCAACTCATGCACGCACCTCCACCAAGCACACCCCATTAACCTTCAACACATGCACAACCCCCCAACACCCTCCCATAGCCCCTCTTCCTCCCAAACCACAGGCCCATTCCGGCGGAGATGCTGCACTACGCAAGAGGAGACACACACTACCTGCTGTACATCTACGACCGCATGCGCATTGAACTGGGCAAACGCAGCCGACAGACCTACAACCTCACGCGCGCCACCTGGAATCGCAGTACAGAGGTCGCGCGCAAGCGCTTTGAGAAGGTGGGTCACAGTAGGGGATAGTAAGAGTGGGTATATATGTGTGTGTGCAAACGAATGTGTGGGCGTGTGTGTATTATATACCAATGGAATAGGAGGGGGTGAAGTCGACAGCTGTGGGGTGCTAGTCATCGTGCCATGGTGTCGTGGTACAGGGGTCGCAAGTAAACAGTTGAGAGTGTAAGATTGAAAAAGGTATATGCATGCATGCAAGTATATATATATATACTCATATAGATGCGTGTATGCATGTATGCAAGCTTTTGTATATATACTCATGTAGATGCATGTAGGCATGTATGCAAGTATATATATATATACACTCATGTAGATGCGTGTATGCATTTATGTAAGTATATATATATATATATATATACATACCCATGTAGATATGCGCAAGCATGAATGAATGGTCAACAAATCTGGGGAAACACAGTCGACATATGTATAACGTCTACTTAAGTGATGTTCAATCACAGCAAATACATACTCGCATGGTTTGCATTAATGTGTAATGTGTGTATCTTTATAGAACAAGTCATGGTTTGTATTAATGTGCGTATCTTTATAGAATAAGAAATAGTTTGTATTAATATGTGTATCTTTGTACATGTGTATTCGTATGTAGCTGGTAGTTGTACATTGAATAAGTGATGGTTTGTTTTAATGTGTGTATCTTTATAGAATAAGCGATTGTTTGTATTAATGTATGTATTTTTATAGAACAAGTGATGGTTTGTATTAATGTGTGTATCTTTATAGAACAGGTGATGGTTTGTATTTATGTGTGTATCTTTATAGAATAAGAAACGGGTTTCTTTGTATTAATGTGTGTATCTTCGTACATATGTATTCGTATGTGGCTGGCAGTTGTACATAGAATAAGTGATGGTTTGTATTGATGTGTGTATCTTTATAGAATAAGTGATGGTTTGTATTAGTGTGTGTATATTTATAGAATGAGTGATGGTTTGTATTAATGTGTTTATATTTATAGAATAAGTTATGGTGTGTATTAATGTGTGTATCTTTGTACATGTGTATTCGTATGTAGCTGGTTGCTGTACATAGAATAAGTGATGGGTTGTATTAATGTGTGTATCTCTGTACATGTGTATTCGTATGAAGCTGGTAGTTGTACATAGAATAAGTGATGGGTTGTATTAATGTGTGTATCTTTGTACATGTGTATTCGTATGTAGCGTATGTAGCTGGTAGTTGTACATAGAATAAGTGATGGGTTGTATTAATGTGTATATCTTTGTACATGTGTATCCGTATGTAGTTGGTAGTTGTACATAGAATAAGTGATGGGTTGCATCAATGTGTGTATCTTTGTACATGTGTATTCATATATAGCTGGTAGTTGTACATGTTGTAGTGGAGTCTCTGTATAGTCTACTCGCTCTATTCATTAGCGTCTGTTCATCAGGCACTTCACTGGGCTGGTCACTCGCTATAGTCATCTGACTTAAAAATACCCTCTCATTAGTTTGTTTTCTCACCACCTTCGCCATCTAATACGTTCTCTCACATGTATGTGTTTTATTGTTATACCTCGTCTTCGTCATTCTCAGTCTGAAACACTGTTATCTCTCACTCTCACTGTAAGTAAGTCTTAGCCTTGTTATCCACACCGTCTCACAATAGTGGGCCCTCTGATATGCTCTCTCACTGTAAGTAAGTCTTAGCCATGTTATCCACACCGTCTTACAATAGTGGGTCCTCTGATATGCTCTCTCACTGTAAGTAAGTCTTAGCCCTGTTATCCACACCGTCTTACAATAGTGAGTCCTCTGATATACCTACCCCTACTAACCTGCGCTGTTGCGTCTACCTCCCACGCATAGACGCTGTGGTCGGAGGATTCTTATGCTCAGCTGCTGCGAAAGTACAACCGCACCTTGGGCGATACTGAGAACAGCATCTTCAAGGCTGTGTTTGACTGGAGGGACTCAGTGGCCAGAGAAGAAGACGAGAGTCCTGCGTAAGTACTACTACGTGCTATATACTGCGTGTGCATGGGTGGGAGGGATGAGAGGCGTTTAGGTTGACATGGTGGGCACACACACGCACACGCACAAACGTAACGAAGACATGCATGAATATACACATACATTCATAATATGCAAAAACAAAAGACACTCACGCACATATTGATATTAACTGTATTGTATCCGTATGTATGCCACGGGTAGCTATATACACGAATGCAACTGACATACCCCCCCTCTCCCCCTATGTCTTGCCTATGCAACTATGTACTGTCTGTGAGTAGTCACACACACACATTGATATTAATTGCCGTGTATCTGTATACACGCAAGCAACTGATAACCCCCTCTCCTCTATGCCTTGCCTATGCAGTTATGTACTGTCTGTGAGTAGTCACACACACACATTGATATTAACTGCCGTGTATCTGTATACATGCAAGCAACTGATAACCCCCTCCCTCTCCCTATATCTTGCCTATGCACACCCTATGCAGCTATGTACTGCCTGTGAGTAGTCTGTTTGCGATCGCCACAGCCAAACCTGTGGGAGCGGCGTCGGTGATGGATGCATGCCGACCACTGCCACCACTTGTGCGGGTCTATGCGCAGGAACTGGCTGTGCTTATCAGAGAAGCGGTGAAGAACGTAAGTATTCGCCTGTGTAGTGCATCTGACTCGAGGTGTTGATCTAAACCGATGTATGTACACACACACACACGCGCATATATATATATATATATATATATATTTATAAATATATCATATATCGGCAATCTGAACACATTTGTCTCGGTCATCTCCTCACAGCCCATGTCAATCAATGCTGCGCCTCAGCCTGCGGAGCAGTCCTTTGGAGTGAGTAGTGCATTGTACAGTGTCATTCAGGACCATCGCAAGAAAAGAGGCGGACGCTTGGCTCTGTTGAATACGGCTGGTATCGCTCCCCCGCCGCGGGCTATCTCTCTGGAAGAACGTGTCAATAGGTACAGTTCCATGGTTTCCGATGGTCTGTATGTATGTATTTGAGGACGTATGTATCAGCATTGTGTATACATATTTACGGGTGCAGTTCTAGTATCGTTGTATATTTAAATATGTATGTATGTATGTACGTATGTATGTATGTATGTATGTATGTGTGTGTGTAGGAATGTATGTATGCAGGTACGCATGTATGCATGTATGCATGTATATATATATATATATATATGACCATCCGGTCACAGGTATAGTGTGAGCTGTGCGCGTGGGCGTGTGTGTACATGCATCATACAAAGTCTTCTAATTCGCTACTTCGATCATAAAAGTTGCCAAAACCTACCGCTGCAAGTGTGGAGGTTTCCATATATCATTGTACCTGCTATATTCAGAACTATCGACCATGTGTGGTGAAGCCCGCGGTTGTATTCATTGTGGCAGTTTCAATGTAAGCTCTACCTAGGACCTCATACAGTCTTACCTCATTCTATCTGTAAAACATAAATATACAATTCAACAACGTACCTACACAATATCACGCACAACCCCAGAATTACATCTTCCTAACCAGTCCCTCACCCGGCAACCAGATGTGACAACGTAACGGCCGCCCACACTTCAGCAACCACAACGACCAAGGCGTCTCGCATCGCCAGTGCTTTTGTAGCGCACGGTGCCAATGCGAAGAATGTAAAGGCGAAGAAAAACGCCCAGTCAAAGGCAAAGAAGGCTGTGGCCTCGAAAGTGGACAACATCATCGCCTCATTTAAAGACCCCTTTGCCGTGTACGTGCCCGATGGCTCAGGTGAGTATGTATATAGTCATGCGATATATATATATATATATTATTATTATTATGTATGTATGTAGCTATGTATGTTTGTGATACCGTCACAGCATGATGTGTTGTAATATGTGGATGCTCCACATGCTCCATATTCAACGGTTTATATACGTAGAGTGCAGTGCGTTATATCCCTAAATATCATTTAATGTCTAAGACTGCTCACTGTTATTTGTCATTTAGTTTCCTATAAGGTGATGAATGCCTGGCGTATTACTTTGCGCAACCAAGCCGGCACCTGCATTCAATCCGAGCTCTTCTTTGAGTTTGGTTGAAGAATACTTTTCTGAAGCATTGCCATTGGGGTTTTTTATCATTGTTGTTTAGGCGACGACATACCAGTAGAGATAACTATTTCAGATACAACTAACGATGGCACGAGCGGCGATTCCGAAGTTCGGGTTGCCATGCCAACGAAGGCCGAGGCGCGTGTGGCGGCGGGCAACGAGGCACTGACACAGGATGTCATATCTGTAGGGAACTACTCACTCAACCCCAAGAAGAAGGAGAAAGGCCCACAGGAAATGAAGGTCTCCGGCAGCACGAAGAAGCCCTGGAACAGGAAGAAAGCCGAACTGCTGAACCAGCAGAAGGTGAACCAGAACGATAAGCCAGGTGCAGGTTTAGCTACCCAGGCACAGGGCTCTGTGAAATATATAGACGTGGACGCTACGGACGGATCACAAGGTGGTGCAGACACCTCGGGTCAGGCGGCTTCCACACATCAGCAACAACAGCAACATGGTGATGGTATGGTACTGTCGGCGATGCCGGGTGGGTCCAGGAGGAAAAAGAAACTGAACAAAGCTGCGAAAAAGGTATGCGACGCTATAGCGTGGGCATGGCGTGTGTGTGCGTAAGGTTGTGGTTGTGGTGGTGTTGGTCTTGTCTATGAGCGACCTGTGTGCAGCGGTACGGTTTGTGATAGAGGAGAGGTGTGTGATGATTTGTGACAGAAGAAAAGTATATGTCCAATATTAGAATGTGTGATGGAGGGGATGCATGTGCGTGTCATCAGAATGTGTGACATATGACGTGTATGGTGTAGCATACAGTATGTGATAGAGGAAAGGTGTGTGTGGTTGGTTGTGTGCACCTGTGTGTCTTGTGTACGGCTGGACGTCCACTTCCTGGGCATTCGGTGGCCCATTCGATTCATTGAGAAGTATGTCTTATTATACGGACATGATGAGATATGTACCAGGGGTACTGTTTAGCCAAGCAGACGTCCATCTACACACGCAAGGTCTGTAACAATGTGCATGTGTTTGCTCCGGTGTGCACATCCATACTATGAACGCCATATGCACCTACTACCCTTGGGTTTTAGGTGTGCACATACTACCCTTGTGCCTTTCATTGGCCCTTGATTCGTAGGGGCACAACTAGCTAAGCTTGCCTTTGTTTACAGATCTCTAACGCCAAGGGTTCACGACAAGGTGTACGACAAGGTGTCAAATAAAAAGACCATACGGAATGTCTGAAACATTAGTCACCCGGGCGAACCTCCTGGGCAATGCTCAGCCGACCTGAAGCCACAACCGCGCAGAATAGCGTACAGCATGTTGTTCAAACATTTTTAACCCGTCGTTAAAACGTTTTTGTATTCACTGGGACCCTATGTACAGGCGTTGGCCTCAAACGACTCAGAAAGTCTCGCTGTGAGTAAGCGCTCGGCTGACGAAGCCGGCATAGCTGCAGCACAGGGCAATGGCAAAGGCAAAAAGGTGTGTTGTGTGTTAAGCAGGCTGTGTGCAACATATGTTATATCATGCAACACTTGTGTAGTACACGTTGATCCTCTCGGTATTGTAAACAGGTGACTAGATGAAAGCATGTTATGGTGTTACTCGATGAAGGCATGTTATGGTGTTGATCGGGTCTCAGGTATACTTCGAGAGGGTCTCCAGTGTTATCTTGTAGTAATGGATACTGCTTCTGCCTCTCTCTACCACCACTCGAACAGTATCCGTCCATCATCTGCGGCCTTTTAGTTTATCGTGTGCTGAGTTGTTAGTACATCTCTTCGCTTTGTGTGCTGTATTCATCTCACGCGTTAGGCTGTCGTATTGGAGCGTAACTATCATTCAGAACCCTCCATTCACAGTGTCTGATGCCACGTTCCCTTTTGTCACGTTTGTTATTAGGCCAAGAAGAGCAACACCCCCACCCTTACAAACAGATCACCCACCGTGTCTAACGGCGAGTTTGTGCCGTTTGACTACTCGGGACAGTCGTCACAGGCCGGTAAGTGTGTGAGAAAATGTGCTGCGTGTGCTATGTGTTGCACTACGAGTGTATGTATGTATGTGTGTGTGCATATGTGCTATGCTATGTGTGCGTGTACTGTGTGTGCATATGTGCTGGGTATGTATCGGTTTAGAATGTACATACTTTTCGTGTGTACAGGCTTACTGTGTGTACGCGTGTTCTGTTTTACTTGAACACTTTCCTCGCATATATATTCCAATTCAGGCTTTTAATACCACTTCCTATCTTCTTACAGACGCACTACCAGGTGCTGAAGACAGTACCATGATCAATGGCAAACGCCAACGACCCAAGAAGCATGAAAAGCGGAAGTTCGATCCATATTCTCAAATCCAAGATCCCGAGTTTAAGAAGGACAATCGTATCACACTAAACCCGAAGTCGGGGCAAAGAAGCATGACCTATAAGTATGACGCCAACAAGAAAAAATAAAGGCAGGGGTTTGACCTATTGTGAAGTGGGGCGTACATATTGCACCGTCGTTCTCGGAGAGATTAAAACACGCCTTGGTGAGATTAACATGTGCCAATTCGAGACATTGAACAAAGTCCTTTATTGAAATATTATTGAACACGAGTATTTGCTTCATTTAACATGAAAATCCGGGGTATATTTAAATGGAATATTAATATTGTACATTTCTGAAACGAACGCGACGACACCACAAGTACGTAGAGTCAATACATACGTATATATATATATATATATATATTGTCACAATATATATGTATATATTGTATATATATATATATATATCTATCTATATCTATCTATCTATATATATATATAAACTGCAACCTTTATTCACATTGATGGATCTGCAGAATACTGTGTGTGCGTATACTCTTTTAAGTATAAATATAGTAGGACTTTTCTTGAGCATAGCTATGTGTTTAAATCAGTAAACACCGAAGCGAGGTCGGGATATAGTAAGCGGTTACTATATAGAATACATGCCCTATTGGTGGAATGGTAGCACATACACGTGATTCCACTGTCCAGTACTTTTCACTCCCACCGTATCGTGGGCGATTGAATAAGATCCAGCATGACCTTTTTTGAAATGAATGAAACGACTGGGTTCTCTGAATGTCCCTAACGGAGAATATAAAACTCTGAGCGTATTTGGCTTGTTTCGCAAGAGCCTGGGAATTCAACCGTTCAAAGGCAAGCATCGATTGACAAAGGGATCTCCATGTCACCACACTAACACTCGACCGAACTCTCGCAAAAACCTCAAAAGACAGGCACAGGCGTATTTAGGGGAAAAGTAATGAGATTTCCTAGGTTAGTCTTTTTGGCACTAATAGATTGGAAAAACCAAGTCAAGTCGTCAAAGAAAAGCCCAAATGGCTCATAATATATTCCATTTGTATAAAGGGCTGGTAGATCAGCACGAGATCTGGAGGGAACTCGTTCAGTGTAAGGTATGGAAGATAGCACTGACTGATCCAAACCTGTGTTTGTATCGGGAATTCACTGGTGAGATGGCTTAACTAGTGCGTGATATCGTGAAAACGTATAAGAGCACAGTAGACTTTATCAGGCGCCACTCGAGTTTTCGCCCCATTCGCATCGACAGCTAGTAATGAGTACACCAACAAGTACAAATAGTTTGCTCACATATTCATTCAGCACCCAGCTCTAAACTACGGGCGACCTGGGCAGCTCCTCAGACCAGCCCCGCTGATATGAACTAGGGCACATGGCTGTGATTGCTTTACTTTATTTAGATTACACTTGAACTTTTACTTCTTTGACTTCCCCGACTTAGTTGGGTTTTTACTCTTACCCTCGAACCCGGCTCGTTTAGGTGGCGGTTTCTGTGCAAAGAAAATAGATTGCAAACAATAGATGAGCAAAATGGGACAAAAAAAAGCATATTTTGAAAAGCATGGATTTCTGCGAAGACCATTGGACATACATATTTATATATAGATATATAAAGTACTGTTGAATTCCATTCGATATGCGAACCACGTCAACAGTTCAAAGCAAGTCCTTTTTGGTCAGCTAGTGCACCTAGACGTGACAGTCCTCCCACCACCATAGCCCAACAATAGACAGTAATCCACTGCCGCTGAAACAACACCCGAAATACCCATGTGGATAGCCCTGGACAGTACATGTATATGCGCTGGGCGAAGAACAGGCGGTGCACATACCTTTGACTTGACCTTCTTGCCCTGGCCCCTTGCTATCTTCTTCTCCTTCTTGGCATCCACCCGCGCCTTCAGGTTGGCGTCTCGCTTCGCTTCGTTACGCTTGATGTTGTGTTTAACGGCCTTGATACTGTCGTTCCATGTCTTCGCGCTCTTCAGCTTCTTCTGTTCCTTCTTCTTTAACGCTTTCCTGTTTTGGTCGGAAGGAACACCACGGGTAAGCATTGTCCGACAATTCACAGTAAATTCGACATAAAGTCATGTACATCGGCCCTACAGCCCAAATTATACGCAGGCGAAATACCGCAGCAAGTGGTTCCTGACAAGAACACGAACACCATTATTACGCTCCAGCAAACTCAGTAAGTGACTATCACCATCACACAAACACACACACACATATATATATATACCTGGACTAAACAACACACCTTGTCCCTCATACACACTCGGCGGGTGAGTATAGCCAATGCACACTCGTATGTGTATATAACCAACACACAAGCCAGAGGATGAAGTGTGAACGGAGATGTTCGAATCTTACTAGTCACAACATAACTCCTCCCTGCTAGAGGTGCACAATCAACCACATTAATACCCTCTACAGATATGTTACATAAGATCAATAGATTTGATCAAAACCAACACGTCCGCAACCAAGGAGTTTAACATCGAGTTTACAGGGGCAAGCAGAACTCAGATGTGTCACACACACACATATATATATATAAATATATATATATACCAAATCACATACACAAACGCCTGACACGTACCTTAACAGAGTAGGGTCGTCTTGTTGCTTAATGCCTTGGGCCATTTCGAGGGCCTTCTTTTGCCGTCTCTTTTCTTCTATGTCTTTCGCTTTGGCGGGATCCGCTTGCTTCAGGTCCTCCATCGCCTTCTTCTCCGACTCAGCCTACGGACCAATGGGATGAGATAGGGATGTCAGTTGGAGAATACGAACGGAAACGACGGTGGCAAGTGAAATGAGGTATAACGCACTACATCTTACGCAGAGATCATTCGTAGATAATATGGACATAAATATGGTTTATATCCGACTTTGCTACGAATCGATCACAAATCCGGCACGCCATCATGCCACAGCACAGTCTACGCCACCTCACACACCCACACACCTTTTCTAGAAGCATCTTCAGATCATTGCTCTTCTTGGCCTTCTTTTTCTTCTCCTTCTCGAGCGCGCTGAAGTCAAACTTGCTATATACAATCTGTTGCGAACTTTTGCCTTCGCCCGTCTCTTCACCACCCGTGGTCATGTGCACGCGACTGGGGCGGTCGGCGGATGGTGCTGTAATGCCCTTCTTCTGGTCCTCGCTCTGTTTATTCGGTTAACGAAATGGTAGTATTTAGTATGTATATTTATACATAAAAATACATACATACATGCATATACGTATACATAAAAGATACATACATACATGCATATATGTATACATGTACATATAATTGAAGGTTGTATGCAGTGGAAGGGCTCGGTTCATCAGCCCAGACGATCGTCTCGGCAAAATAAATGTCACCGAATCCGACCGCATATAACATACGCATGTTCAACACCTGAACAAAATCGCAGTATTGAGTTCTGATCTACACTAGGATACAAAAAATAAAAAATAGAAAAACATATATATATATATATATCAACATTCAGACACAGTTACCACCGGCTAGTATCATCCGCCACACAAACAAACACTTCTCCGGCCTGGAGCTAATATAACTCGAAACGTCATATATACATATACATATATATACATAATACAAGTATAAATGTATCCCTGGTGCATATATAATACAATAATGTATATTTTAAAATACACACATATGCATAATTTAAGTATAAATGTATCCTTGGTGCATATATAATACAATAGTATACATGTACAATACATACATATACATAATATAGGTATAAATGCATCCTGGGTGCATATATAATACAATAGTATACAGTACAATACATACATATACATAATATAAGTATAAATGCATCTTTGGAGCTATATCCGTGCTGAATTGTCTCCACTCCACACACCTTCTTCTTCTTCCGTTGCTCGCGTATCTCCTTCGCCTTGGCCTTGTTATGTGCGTCACTTTTCTCATCATCGTACTTGCGCTTGCTCTGGAACCCAGCCAATCGCGCGGCAAGCCGTTTCTTAAGATCATCTATATTCTGCGCAGGGTTGGCGTTTAACGTCACCCTTCGCTCTACCACGGCCGGGGCTGTCTCTGTATTCGTCTCGTTGGGATCCTCTCTGTCACTGTCGCTGTCACTACCGGCGGCGGCTGCTATTAAGTCCTGTTTGCGTTGCTCTATCACTTCAATCTGGGGCATTGGGTTAGAGTGAGGTCCGTATAAATTAATAACATGGTACTCGGTTACTTCAGCTTGATGCGATAGCACTAGCAGGCACGCACACACACATGAGGTATGACGCCGTTAAACGCGCTCCTACAGTACTTTCTGGGGAGGTTGAAACTGGAGACGACACAGGTACATTGTATGACGTTCTCTCATACAATATTACGGCGCACTAGATACACTTATATATATCTCAATGTACTTATTACGCATTGGCACTCTTGTAATTGCTTTGTTCCCCAATACAGGTCCATATTCGGATACCGATATGCCAATTCAGTATCTAGTGCTTGCATATGCGTGACCCCTCAGCCATTAATACCCCATGAGATCGGACCAGCTACACACCTTCACACTTATACAGTGATAAGTATGTGCACAAGAAGAGAGAAGTGACTCTCATCACGACTGCGTTCTACGCACCTAGCACAATATCATGATGCCATAGGATAAACGCTTAAAAGGAACCAAGCCTATAGGGCGCTCGGGGAGAGATGTGGTCATATTGTGTGAAGGAAGGTGTGCACAGTTCACATGGAGCTATTGCGCATACAGACCACGAACAAACACCCAAAATATACGTCTTCAAGAGAGGGTAGCATCTGTTTACAAAATGAATACTACATTATACATGTGCGATGTGAGAATAGTCCAATACTTACATAGAAACGAGAATGCTATCATGGAGATGCATAAACTTGACATTTGACTTAACAATGAACTTCATAAACAACAAGCGAATATTTCTTGCCATTCATGAAGACACATAGTTCATTCCAACATCACAGGACAAGGGAATCTACTAACAATGGCCATCAATATCATCGACTGTGACCCTAAAACTCTAAAACCCTAAAGAATATATATTATCGACTGTGACATCATAACCAACACAAATACACGCCCGCGAAGGAATGCTAAGACAGGCTCGAGTACAAGCATTACAAGTCCACATCAATACATTAAAGAACGAAGACGATTTTACTCGACGAAAGCTATAATGTTGGCAGACACATACGGGGTTTAAGATGTAACGTTCTTCCTTCTGACAAGTATTTACATACATGCTAATACAAAGTCTGGCGTGTGAGTGTATATAGCCACAGGGTAATGACACAGCTACATGTGTCAAAAACATACAACACATTTGGTTTCTGGAAGTCACACGAAGCTTGTCCACAGCCATACGTGGACTGAACAAGCGATTGTGTAATCACAGAAATGTGCAATATATATATTTATATATATACAAAC